TAAATCAATTAGAAATTCGTCACACGTGACATTTGGACAAGCGCACATATGCATATGACTTATAAACTGCGCTGAGTTCGTGCCACTGCGCGGTGGTACGTAAATACTTGTTTCACCTCAATAAATATACGTTTATTAATTTATGTTTTATAAAGGAACTGATATTGAGTCAATTATAAAAAAAAAATCACAAATTTCACATACTTAATTAGGTATGTGTGATTTGCGTATTGAGAACTGTTTTTTTTTTCGACCCACAATCGACCCTTCCGATATGGATCGACCCCCATTCAACCCCCTGTCTCAGATCGACCCCCGCTTTTGTTAAATAGACCCCTGGGGGTCTATATAGACCACTTTGGCGACCTCTGCCCTACACTGATGTTTTTTTAAGGTCAAGTGCCATTGACCGGTATATATTTGCCCGATACTCCAAAGACTGATGTTTCTTCTACTCTATCGTCAGTAAGTGTTAAAATACAGAATAAATATATCAAATAAATATAATAATATCAACGAATAAATTAATATAAAATTGGATATAACAAATATTTCGGACATTCACCAAAGCGACTATGTGATTGTTGACATACACCGGCGAGGGTCCGAATGTCCAAGAATGTAATTAAATATTCGATCTTTCACCTACGTACTTGGTGTTTGTCAACAACCACGTATTTCGGTCATTCGCCGTAACATATATATACAATAGTGTGTTGAAAAGCGTTAAAAGGAAGAAATTTGAAGCCAATATATTGTACAGTCTTATAAGAGTTTGAGTAAATCTACTATAAAAAATTAAAAATAATTTCTCACTAATCTCAAAACTTTGTTTAAATTTACAGTGAATAAACAATATAACAAACAAGCAGTGTTCTTCATAAAAATTAGAATTCAAACGTATGTGATTGTCATGTAAATAACGCCATTTCGGAAAGCTAATAACATTCAATTTATATAATGTTTATAAGATTCTTTGCCATATTAAAAATAAATTAATGTAACTCAATTATGTCGACAAAACAACAATTACTATCAGATAATACAAACATAAGAGCAAATAAAGAGGTACAAAGGGGAACATACTAATTATGTAAATAAGTTTATTTACATAAAAGTCTTTTCTCAACATAATGAGTGTTGTAGCATTAGAAGGAAGAAGCTTTTAGTGGGGAACCATCAATAATTAACTTCAGCATATTCTTTTCATAGCATGCCAAACTGCATAAGGGAACACCTGTTTTAGAACAAGAGTATTTTTTTCTATTTTTGCAGTTGTCTACAGAACAGTATATTGGTTGAGGTGGCCTGAAAATAAAAAGAATTATCTCATACAGTTTTAATTTGCATTAAACAAAACAAAAACTTAAAGCCTTTTATGTCAATTTGCATTAAAATAAACATTCTTTTAAAAAAGGAAACATTAATTTAAAATAAGGAAAGATTAAATATGGGCCGGCCAGGTGGCCGAGCGGTTAGAGCACCTGCCTGCGAAGCCATTGGCTGCGGGTTCGAATCCCGCTCTGGGCATGGATGTTTCTCTCCCTCTTTGTGCTGTCCTCTGTTGTGTGTGATGTGTGAATGTGGCCCACCCAATAAACGCGAATGTGGTTCACAGGTGCCCACTGGGTAACGCTAAATGAGTATCGATTCCGGCATCTTCATAGGCAAAGATTCAAATACAGTGGGGAAAAAAAAGATTAAATATTTCAGATTCTTACGTATAACCCCTGTGGCAGTGCTCAAAACACTTCTGCAAGATACTTTCAATAATAACAGATGTATGTTACTAATTTAGTGTAAGAAAAACAATTTTTAAAAAAATCAAATTGAATAATTTTTTATTCTAATATTATGGGCTATATTCTCGCATTTTTGTTGGAAGGGGGAACATACTAATTATTTCCTTCATCGCATTTTACAAATCCGCCGAGTGTAGGGGGCAGGGAACTGTCCTTGCATCAGAAAGGTTCTGCGTTCCAATCCCGGGCAAGGTATGGATGTTCTTTCCTTCTCTGTACTATCTGTCTTTACTGTGGGAGGGACATTGGCCCACCTAATATGGTGCCCCTGTAAGAGAGGTCAACAAAATCGCCTGAATTGACAGATGTTAACACAGGTGGGCATTAGGAAGAAGAAGAAAAATTTGCAAATCATCAAATTACAAAAATTAAATATTAAATCTGTAGTAGTATTTACCAAAAATCAGATCGACGACAAATTCACACGAATCGGATTTTTCAGAAATGGGTTGCTCAAATGGATGTTTCGTTTCAAGATTTGATTGTTGTAATAAATAATATCATATAAAAAAATATCGGGTTTTAAAACTATGCGGAAATCAAAAGCAATAACAGCAAAGAAAAAACAGATAGAATCATTGATATAAAAAGTAAATAATCAAATGCAAAATTCAAATTTCCCATATCGCCTGAAATATATCGGGATTTCTAAAAGCCACGTGCAATGTCAATAACTGCCGAAAATACAATCAAAATGGATTTATGATATCGGCATAAAATGTGCTTTCAAACAATAATTATTTAAATGCTTGATTTTATTTTACATGTAAATTTCTGTAGAAAAGAAAACCAAAATTATTTACTTTCCAAAAGAAAAATCATCCTGCAAGAACTCTGTAGAGTTCTGCGTCGCCGCGATTCTGCAACGGGGTGTCCTAAAAAAATCTTCTTTTTTTTTTTTTTTTTAACCTAGATCATAGCACCTAGAGCATTTTGTATAGTTTATAAAAGAGATATTTATAACATGTACACATTTTTGCAAGTTTATAAGTTAAAAAAAAAACAAATTTCATTAACGTCGAAAAAAATGTCTTAATCTGCTTTACAAGGTGTTTGTATCGCTCTTTTTTCTTCAATTAAATATTGAGAATGCTTTTTGTTAGATTTTTTTCTACCAATTAAAAAAAACTTTGAAATCTAGCTTTTTTATTGACACTATTTACTTTAAAAATAAGAATTTTGATGCGATTAAAACGAATCATTGACGATACCTTTTTAGTAACACAACAAATTTAATAAAATAAATACACACTCCTCTACCAATCTGGTTTCTCTCCCCAGAGAGAGTCTCAGAAGCTTTTTTTGTTAGCTTTGAATCTCACTATCAGCATTTTAGTGAAATTAACCACTTCCCTTTTCTGAAGAACAAAAAATGCTAAAAATCAACATAATTTTATTATTTCATTAATAAATACAGGGAACTAAAATTAAACCTAATACACAAGTTTTAAGTTGAAATTTTTTTTTTCAATGTATAAAAATCATTTAATTTACTATCAGTTTACTATCCAGAGTTATCAAGGGGAAAAAACTTAAATAACAGTCTTTGTATGATAGTTTTCAAAACAAGGTTGGTTGATTAAAATTTATTGGCATGGCTATACTGCACCAGCCACTAGATTAAAAAAAAAATACTTTCTTTTTAGAGCAGAACTATTTTTTTAACAAACGTATAAAGATGTATTTGGTCACCGATTATTGATTTAAGACCAGGGCTGCCAAAGAGTTTGCTGTTGGTTAAAACATGCTTAATGTCAAATTGCAAACGAGAACAACAAAGTCAGGATCAGCAGTTAGTAAATGTTTATGGGTGAAACGGGAGTGACCAATAAGCAGCCTATTAATTACAACTTGGGTTTTGCGATCAACTAATTTGTGGTTTTCTGGGGAGGGAAAAATCTCATGCATTTTATTGTCTATTTGTTTGCTCCAGTGTTCTTTCCAAGACAGCTGTATTTCAAATGTACATATTCGTTTCAAATCCAAATGTGTAAAGAGATTCCTGCATACATTTTGAGTGGTTTTAGCAGCAGTTTCAGGGCAGTCATTCCCGTGTAAGCCAAAATGAGATTGTATCCAGCAAAAGTAAATACTTTATTCTTCACCACATAATTCTGTGAAGCAACTTTGAATTTTCTGCAATACGGGGCTGTGGGAAAAGCTTGAAATAAAACTATAAGAGTCTGTATTAATAATCCACTTGCAGTAAGTTTGGTCAGAAATAAAATTAAGTGATAACAAAATAGCACAACATTCAGCAGTGAAAACTGATGAGTCATGATGTAACTGTTCAGATATAGTCAATTTTCTATGACTACACCACAACCAACATGATTATCGTGCTTAGATCCATCTGTAAAAATTGGTTTAAAATCAATATAATCATTATGATATTCATAAAATTTTTGAATTAAGTCACTTCTGAATTAAGTCACAGTCATTTTTGAAGTCACTTAAAATGCGGATAATTCTAATTCCAAATGAAGGAAGGTAAGAAGGCCGTGAAGAGAAGTGAGTGATGTACTGTGGGTCAGTAATACTTGAATAAAGTGGATGATTTGAACTCGATTTAATTTTAAAATAATAATCGAATGAAAGCTAAAGATTTCGCAACTGAAGAGATGGTTCAGAACACAACGTATACAGACTTTCAACTGGTCAGGTTTTAAATGCACCTGATGAGATTCTAAGACCTTGATGATGGAGGGTATTGAGATATTTTAAAACTGATTGACGAGCTGATGAATATACAGGAATGCCATAGTCTAGTTTCGAGCGTATAACTGCACTATAAATTTTAATCATTGTGTACATATCAGCACCCAAAGAGCAATCTGTGAGGACTTCCGTCGAAGCAGATTATTTTGTATTCATTAGTCACTCTGTTTGTGACAGTTTGTTGTCAATGTTTTTAAAATAAATTTATTGCTTTAGAAACTTCGTTTTCTTATTTGTTTTGTTGACTAACAGATGCAATGATATTCTGCGACAATCTCGGATGTGAGAAATGACCTGGCTGATTCGGTTGCCCGGTCTGCCACTGATCTCTTCCCATTATTTGTGCCTTTCATGGATGCTAAGCTGCACATTTGAAAATGTATAACATCTTTATGGCATCAAAGGTGGGATATCCAAACTCCCAATAAGCTACATAGTATTAAAACCAATTTGGACCATTTGCCTGTGCTGCACCTGCGTAGTGCAGGCGCTAAACCTACTTGACTGTAAATCGGTTACACCCGGTTAACACATCGTCATTTACTGTTCTGAGAACCTCCTCTTGAATGCAGTACTTGTAACATTCCTCTCACAATTCATCATATTTTAATAACGTGTCCAAGTTTTAATCAACATAGTTTAAAGTTTTTTGAGAGTTCTATTTTATGCATACAAGATTTGTTGTATGACATTCACCATTCTTACATTTTTGCGTGTCGTTGGTATTTCTAACTGCATATAACAGTTTTAACATGTCTACTGTTTTATTAACTTTTGTAAATATCTACCACTTTAGTACATTTTACTCACTTCGTGTATTTTATACTGTATTCATACTTTTAATCTGATTTTATTCATACCTTTTATCTGATCTTATTTAGATCATTTATCCGGTCTTGTTCACTTACTAGTACTGTTTTATCAATTATAATTGTGCTACAATTAAATTTCGTGTCCTCTTAGGCTTTTAAATTATTTTACTGTATCGTTTGGAGCAGCATGTCCTCATTTGAACCTTGTGACACTAAACCCTACATTCAATCAATTATTTTATTGTGTTGGGGGGGAAATGTACAAATTATTCCTCCTTCTCATCTTGTAAATAATCATAACAATAAAAAAAATGATTAAAAATCATGAAATCCGTAGTAGTAATTGCTGGAAAAAAAAGATTGACAAAAGCAAGTAAATTAGACTCATCAAAAAGGGGTTATTTAAATACGTGTTTCGAGATTAGGTTGTAATAAATAATATTGTATAGTAATATCCGATTTAAAAACTAAGCAGAAATCAATAGCAATAAAAGCCAAAAATCAATAGATCCAGTGTCTTAAAAAGTAAATACTCAAATGCAGGATTAGAATTTTCCATATTGTTTGAAATATATCAAGATATTTAAAAAACCACATGAAAATCAATATCAATAACTGCTGAAAATAGAATCTTAACATTACGTCGATTTACAATACTATTGGTGTAAATTGAGCGTGCCAAAAATTGATAATCTAAATGCTTGATTCAAATTTTATGAATAAATTTCTGTAGAAAAAAAAACTAACATTTTTCAAAAGAACAATCTTGATGATACACGGTCTATACATTAAGTGTGTTTTCAAAAGTGTTGCCCTGCCAAAAACAGAATTGTTGCTAAGTTAAGGAACAGTATTTTAAAAAGCTCACTTTTCTTTCACTTATTTTAGTAATGTTTATCACGACATCTGTGGGATGTAATTAAAGATTATTTATTGCAACATAAATTGTGCAAAGATATAGAAAACCGCATCATTTCGGAATTTTATAAACAACCTAATTTTCGTTTTTTTAGCGAAATGTTTTCATTAACAAGATACATTTATCTTTTTGGTAGAATGCACACCATACAAGATAAAAAACATTTATCACTTTCAGGAGGCAGTAAAAAAAAAAATCAAACTACTTTTGAAATCAGTCTAATTAATTGTGATAATAAGCATTGCTGGTCTTCTTTAAATAGGTACCTAATATACCAAGATAGAAATAATATGAAATATTCGATGGCAATAATAATAGAAATAAATCAAACAAAATATTCAAGATTGTAAAAAAAGGAAAATTCTTAGAAACTACTTTGATAGATGAAATAACTTACTCTTTGGCAATTTGACTTTTTAGTGGATATTGAAAACCAAGAGGAAATGATAATGATCGATCTTTTGTGATGCTATCAATGTATTTCATTTTCAAAACATCAGACTTTTTTACCATTTTCTGCATTGACAAAAAAATGATTAGAATAAAGTATAATAACTTCAAAAATCAATTACAAAGATCTCAATTTATCATTTTGTTTCTTCATGTTCATTTTCTAATTGAACAATCCCATTTTCACAGCCAGTTAAAGACAAACTTTCTTGAGTTAAAAAAGATGTGAACTCCTTAGTAACCTTTTTTCTTTGTAATCAAACAATTGAGTATTATTTCTTATCACCCCCCCCCCTCTATTCTTTTCCATGTGCAGTGTTCCCATGCCCACACCCTATTCTTTTCTTTTAGAATACTTTACACTCCTCATGGAGTATCCTTCTAGGAAAAAGGAAGAATATATAAATGATAAAAAGGACTTTTTTTCCCCTTGCCGATAGCCCTCTAACAGTCACCCTTGTTTCTCTAAAATTTCCTACCCTCGATGCATAGCCTCATTCTAGGCGATAAAAGAAAGATTTTTGTTTTAAATATTCTTGTAAGACTGAAGAATTGTCTCGCGAAACATTTGCACCAATAGCATCTGCAGTCTTTGCAATCTGGGAAAGGTGACGACCTCTTGTGAATCACAATGCCTTTTGAATACTAAAGTTGCTTCTCCACATGGTTCTTTACATTTATTGCTGTTCTTTAATCATTATTAGAAATAAATATTAATATTGAAATACTATTAAATAAATTGCTTTTAATTAATTTTTCTGTTGTATGACACAATTAACCTTTGGATTTAAACTAGAAGATACAGGATTTTTTTTCTAAACCAATTTAAATCATAACTTTATTAAATGCATGAGAAGCTATTTTGAAGGTGTTGTTTGTTTTTCAAGAAGGGAAAAAGCTACAAATTTCATCTTTTTTTCTTTTTTTTTAATTTTTTATTTATTTACTCACAAAAGCCTTCATTTAACTGCATATTAGGTAATAGCCTATTGATACAAATAAAATTTAGTGGTACCCATAATTTTATATGAAACCAGTATTAAATTTCCTCATTTAAATGATTATTTATGGTTGCCAATCCTCGCTAAATTGCATGAAGAAGATAAGAAAAAGTTATTTTTAAGAAACTTTTCACAAGATAGAATGAAATTTTAAAATTTTGTAAAAACATACACTTAAGATTTGCGTCCCCTTATAAGTGAATTACCAATTACAGGAATTGATTGGAACCAACGTTTTAAAAAACTATTACTTCATTAATTAAAAATTTCAATACAAAAATAACCACTCAAAAAAAAAATTTTTTTAATAAATTGTTCAAAATCTACATTTTATATAAAAAAAAATAGATTAAAATAAAAAGAGGCTCAATGTGTTAATGGTTTTATCATTCTATTTAACATGCTCTTCTTCTAACTAGAACTTGAAATGCTAATTATTTTGAAAAATCAAATTTGAAAAAATAATAATTTAAGTATGCAAATTTGTTAAACTTTACTATATAGTAGAAAAGTAAATTCATCTATTACTAAGTATGTAAATTTAAAAAACTTTTTAGTATGCAGTCATATAAAGTAATTCATTTAAAAATAATTTTAATGTTTCGCTAAAAAATCAAAAGCAGTGCAATTTCTTCAACTGATTTATGAAACTTTATATGCGAGTAAAACTTTGAGTTTAACAAGATTTTTTTAGAAATTTATTTTCTTTGAAATCTCAAATCATTTATAAACTAAATAAATCCCATCGCTTTAAGAAACTATACTAACTTGTAGTCCAGTGTTTAAGTAAATATTGTTGCTTGTAGGTAAATTCTTATTTGTAATATTAACATACAACCAATATGTAAAAAAAAAAAAAAACACTTTTGTAAACATGATAAAAATTTAACATTAAATTTAAAAGATTGTAGGAAAAAACTTTTTATGCTACTAGCAAATTGAAGAATTTAATCTTCATTTTTAACAGTTATTACTTAACATTTTTTTAAATTCAAAATTATTTGTTAGAAATTTGTGATAAAAAATATTATTCTTTATTTAGCACTTCTAAATTTTTCGATCAGAATTTTTTAAAAATTTATAAACGTTTCAAAAAAATTAAATATAAAAAACAATTGACATATTTTGTTATAAGAAGACAAAATTGAATCTGAAGTTCAGTATTGTTCTTTTTGTTTCTTTAAAAATGACAGATAAGTCGTTATTCTGAAGTATAGAACTTCATTATTTTTAGTACGGACATTTTCCCCAGGAGTTGGAAAATCCTAGTTTCAAATGTATCATAAAAAATTCATCTATTTGTGGTATTGACCACCAACAGGAGAAAGGAAAGATCACCTCATACCTTTCTGTCAGATAAGGGCACACTAAGAACTGTAGGAAAATTTGAAATTACTCATTGACATTAATAAAAAAAAATCTACTCTCATTGAAAATACTAGTGACACGTCAGGTGGGTGGTATCTTCGCAATTTTGATACATGAACTGTATTTTCTTTGTAATGAATATTCTGTTTATTTTGTAATTAAAATTTTTCAAGAATTAAGTATGAATATTGAGGTAAGCATTTAAAATGTTTATACACAATGGTATCGTCAGAAGAAAATTCGATATGAGTGAGTCATAATTTTTTTTCACGATATTGCTTTGTTCTTTCAGCAGCAATTTTTCTTCTGTTGGTGGGTAAATTTCTTCTGATAAAGGTTGATTAAATGGGACAGTGCCAAGCATTTAATAAGATGGTGGAAATTTAGTTACCGAATGTGGAGATAAATTATATTCTTCCGTTACTTCTTTCAATAATTTATGAAAAGGAATTTTTTTTGAAGAACCATTCATTTTACATTTTAAATGTGTTACAATTGTTCGAACTAAATGTTGATCATTTCCATTAGTTTCGGGTCTATGGGCTGTAGTTAATACTTGCTTAATTTTGCAATGCTTAAGAAATTTTCTAAAATGGAACGAAGTAAATGCTGCATTTGGATCACCCGCATTTAGGAGTTTAAATTTGAAAAATTCGATGCAAAAAGTTAATATAAGTGTCTGGTTTAGATGTACAAGACCACATATATCGAATGTGGTGTCCAATTAAATATATTAAAATTGAATTATAATAATTAAAAACACTATCTATTGTAACTATTTGAAAAGGTTTATAAACTGTGACTGAAGAAAACCATTTTTATCTAGGTTTTTTTATTTATTTGACAATGTTTAATAAAATTTGTTATATCTAAAGTAATATTTTCTGAATAATGAACAGGAGTTAATTGTTTTTCGAATCTCTGGGTGACCAAATATATTCTTCAAATAATTCATGTTGTCACATGATTCCCACTCATTTAACAAAGCAAAAATTAAGCACTTTTAAGGACTTATTTTTTGAAAACCTTAAAAATAGTATTATTGTTCATTATCGAATATACATATACCACCAGTGACAAGGCCAATTTTTAACCTTCTTAAAAAAAGAAATTTAATAAATAAAAAAAAATAACAAAATTTTCTTATTATAATGTACGTACTGATATAATTGTATTAATTAACAGGGCTGATATAATTGTATTAATTAATGTACTGATTTAATTGTATTAATTAACATACTGATATAATTGTATTAATCATTCCATTTTTAAAATTGAATTGTAAAATTAAGTGCAGAAATTAAGATTTGCAATTCATTTCATATATTAAAAAGAAAAATGTAAATGAAAAAATTTAGGAGAAACAATGAAAAGATTATTACAACAATTTTTTTATATTTTGCTACTAGCAGGGGTGACTGTGAGCCCAAATCAAAATTCTGGAAATTTCTTGAGTTGGAAAAAAAAACAGTTTAAATTGAAAAATTAGAACAAAAAAATTAAAACAAGGTTTTTTTCCTTTTTCTCAATATTTTTTAGTTTACTTAAAATATATTTAAAATTTTACACATACCTATACCATTTACACATGCCTATGATGACCTGGAGAAGTAATTAAAATTTACAAAAATGTCTTTCTTTCTTCAGTTTATGATCATAGCAACTATTTACTGATAAAAAATGAATATTAATCATGAATATAAGCTTATAAAGTATCTCTCTGACTCTCCCTTACAAACAAATAAAATAAACTGGGTTTTTTAGTTCCACCTATGAAAATTTGATTTCCTGAAACTTCTGTGATCAATGATTTTTTGAAACGTGTGGCCCTTCGATCTCCGGAAAGTTCCGGATCACTGTTAGCGAAAAATCCGGATTTTTTCCGGAGCACAATCAGCCGTGTACTAGACACTGATCACAGATTGAGTTGTGAGCCAATCTAGCTACACATTTAGTTAGGCCAAAAAAAGTTCTTTCTTTTCTATTAATAAATTGTTTCATTCATATGGATACATAGTAAAAGAATTAATACTAAAAACTTGAAATAAGAATTATGCATGAGAGTTTTCTTAACTGTCATTTTAAATTAAGTCCTTTTTTAAGTAAAAACAGGCCATACTAATATCCAAACACCTTAAATCATTCCACTTTTTTAATTAGGCTTAAAATAATACATTTTTTAAAAAAAAAATTCATTACAATAAATATTTTTATGAAAATTTTTGTAAAATAAAAATATAATTATGTTTGAGGAAATTTATAACTTTCAAACTAATGTTTTTTTCTTTAGTTCACAGTGAAACATGTAAATAAAAGGGTCTAAAATGACTTTTCAAAGGTATCAATACATTTCTATGGACAGAAAATTGGTAAGGTTCCTACCTAGGTGGGCTAGGATTTTTCAAACCCTGTTTATTACAGATCACTTTTTTACAGCTACTTGTCACACATTGAAATATTATACAAATTTATTTAATTCTTTATTGGAAATAGTTTTCAATAGACTCTAGCTAAAAAAACATTTCTGATACTTCCTTTCGTGGGGCTTTACATCATTCCTAAAAGCAGATGCGTTACCAGTCGAACTGTATTTCAAGAATTCTGAGGGTTTTGAAAGTTGACGTTTCTGACGTCGACTTAGGTACCCTAAAACGTTAGCGTAAAGTAGTACCTAAACCCTTAGGTACCCTAATTTTTTTTCACTTGACATGAACCCCTTGCAGGTTATCGTCGACCTCTGCTCTAGATGATAAAAGAGACTCTTTGCTTTAAAATATCATTCTTATCAACTACAGGGATGCTCAAAAATTAAGGAATTTTAAAAGCCTTGTACCAAAATTAAGTACTTTAAAGGGCCCTAATTTAATTTTTACCAGAATTAAGTACATTAAAAGGCCTTAATTATTAATAAATTAATAATAAAAATTAAGCAGTTTATAAGAACGGTGGGAACCCAGTTTAAAGACAATTTTGGTAAAACCCTTTTTTAATAAACATTATGACTTTCAATGAAATGTCCAATTAAATTATCATTTTGTTCGGCTTCACGAAAGATGCGAAAAATTATTTAAATTTTTTATATCAATATTATTACTATTATTATCAGGATTCTGACATTCAATGACAAGACATTTGGTGATGACATAATTCTTTTATAGTTTTGTAAAGAATGGGATGCAATTGGATATGAAACAACTGGCTGCTCCAATTCCACTTTGACTGGCATTAACAAAAATATGCGTAATTTAGGACTAAATATTTTTTATAAAGGTTTTGAATGTTTCGTGGCATTTGGAACTTTCTTCAAGAGATTCTCTAATTTCAGCAAATACACATTTAGTGAACCTAAAAAGCGTTGATAAGATTAAACATTAGGTTTGAAATTTTCAATGCTCTTGTAATCACTAGACTATTACATATTTAATAACATTTAATTTTAGTTTAAAAAAACATTTAGAAGCTTTTAATTTTAGGTTTTCACAACGACGTTTTTCAAAAAAGGAGCTAAAAATATAACCAAATGAAATTTTATGTTCAGTGAGAATTTGGCATATTGTTCTTTGTAAGATACATTCTCCTACTCTTAACCATTCTTATAAACTGTTATTATATACCGCTACATTGTTAGTGACAAATGTAAATGTTTCTGTGTCATCAGGATATTCCAGAAAAATTATTTTGTTTAGCATTAGTGTAACTTGATTTTAATTTACCATTCTTTCTTTTATTTTCAAATTCGATACTACTATTGGAATCTGGAATTCCGGAGAAATGTCCATACTTTAATAATCAGATCAGTTTACTTTGATTTTGTATTACAACATGTTTCCCACAATCAATCACAATTCAATACAAACTGTTGTTGTTGTTGTTACTTTACGTCGCACTAGAGCTGCACAATGGGCTATTGGCGACGGTCTGGGAAACATCCCGGAGGATGATCCGAAGACATGCCATCACAATTTTGATCCTCTGAGGAAGGGATGGCACCCCCGCTTCGGTAACCTGACAACCTGCGCGCGAAGTCGAGCACTTTACGGTAGCACAGTTTAACGAGGACCCATACCGCACACCCTCGGTCCCTACGCAGACTGATCCAAGTGGTCACCCACCCACACACTGACCGTAGCCAGTGATGCTTGACTTCGGTGATCTGCTGGGAACCGTGTCTTAACGATCAGTCCACTGCGGGACTCAATACAAACTCAATAGAGTAAATCAGTATTTGAAACAGTATTTAACTGACCTAGTTATTTTTAAATTTAAAGGGGAAGTTTAGTTAAATTACATATTACCTATTGTGTGTTCTACATTTATAAAATTTTCCCTCTCTTTCTGGATTTTTCAAGTAATCTAGTTGGAATTATATTTTAGAGTGCTTAAAAATACAGTTTGATCAGTCAAAATCGGTCATTTTCCATTTTTAAAATAATTATTTTCATCTTCAATGCATCCAACTATCATTAATTGTCAATTTTGTAGTTGGTCATTTTCTTATTCATCTAGTTGATTCACAGCTAAAGAAATTTGATTTGTTTATACAATTTTGGCTACAATGATAAGCATTAGTAATTTCTAGATTATCACAATATTTACATGACTTAGGAGGTAGATCCACGTCTGGGCAAAATGTCTTTGTTAATTTACATTAAATCTGTCATTTTCTTCATGAAATCTAAGTTTATTTTTCAATTGTTGGTTGAAATTTTGACTTGGCAGAGAAACATTTTGATTTCTTTGTGGATTATTATAATAATTTGCAGCCTCGGTGCCCAGCCTTGAAAATTTTGATTTTGTTGTCTATACTATTAAAATTTTGATTTTGGCACTTTTTGTTCATTTTGTGATAAGACAGTGGATACATCATGAACAGTTTTTGAAACAACTGTAAGCCAATCAAGTGAGATTTCGGGTTTAGAACCAAAAGTGTCTTTAATTTGTTTAAAAGAATACTTAATTGTCTATCTCCTGATAACTAACATATAGGTGAAAATTACTTGCTGCTTTGGTGTAACAAATTTATTTCAGCGCACAAATTTGGCAGCAAGTTGGGCCCCAAGTCTCATTTTTTGCTTAATGAATATTATTGGAGGTTTTGAGAACTTGGAGCAATTTTGGGAAAAGTTGGCACTTTCAAGCAAGATAGAGTCAAAATTTTACTTTGGAACAATTTGAGCAATTGATCTACCCTGTGTGTAGCTTGAATGAAAAGAGGTATAATTTAAGATATTAAAAGGTTATGCATTGAACAAAAAAGACAAACAAGATAAAGAAGAAATTATTACCTTAATACCTCTTGGCTTTGTATCAGATTTCTTCAAAAGTCTTTCCAAAGTTTGTTTCTAAAGAATAAAATCAAGTTGAAAAATTAAAATATAAAAAATATTTATATCAGCAGCCAGTAGAAATAAATAAATCTTGTTTAAAAAAAAATCCAATGTTTGTTGTTGAGAATATCTCATAATTGTTCTTTAAGTTATTTAAAGACAGTTTTTTGGAAGGTAATTTCACTGGTAATCTATAGTGTCAAGATTTAATTCTTAAAATGCAATCTAAAAGAGTAAAAATAATAAATTGATTACTGAAAAGTACAGTCTACTACTTTCACAACTCTTTGTGGTAACATAAGACAGTGAAATCCAAGAAGCTGCTTATGAGTGGTAAATATAATGAGAAAAATGCTGTTTTGTTGTATCATTCAAAGGATTAACATTGGTGGGTTAACATGAATTCAAATTTAAGCATGCAGTCAATTAAGGAGTAAATACAGGGTGGCCACTCAACTCAGGTTACAAATTTCCCTGATTTTTCCGGGTTTTCCAGTACAAATCTTAAAATTACCAGGTCAGCATGCTTTTTTTTTCCCTGCTAAAGTGTAGTTTAGGTACAAGAGAAGTGCCAATATTAGTGTATTAGTCAATATAATAGTCTAGTATTTCATTTAAAAAGTTATTTTTTTAATATCTCATCTTGAATAGATGTGGAGGAAACAATATGTTAGCTTGCAGAAAAAAACGCTTTTCGAACGAATAAAACGAATAAAAAAATTTTTAAGTGTTAAATAGTTTTTGCACAAAATGTACCAAATAGCAATGACCCAAAAAAACCTTGAATAAGTACTGTTTAATATATTTTTATTAAGCAAAAGAAAATAATTCCAGGCGATTAGAAGCCAATAAATTTTTATATTTATTTGCATTTCAATATAGAGCCATTTTATACTAAAATTTATTGAAAGAATTTTCTTTAAACCAATAATATCATAAATCAAATGCTTAAATAATGTTGTTTGTTTCAAATTAGCACTATTATTTTAAGACATATTCAGTATTTGTAAAAAGGAGTAAGGAGTAAAGGAAAAATTTTCAATTTCTTGTTGCATATTCTATGGAAAAAAATTTAAAATTAATTAAATTTTATTCTTTCTTTTTCTTTTTTAACAGAGATTAGAATATATTAAGAAATCCAATCTAATATGATTTTCTAGTTCAGATGAATTAATTGGTTTTGTTATTACATCTGAGCAATGCCACGGTTTCGCGAAAAAATTAACATTAATTTCTTAGAAAAACTATCTTATAAAACAAAAGTTTATAATCATAAAATTTTTGCATTAAGTATTTAGTAAATCATAACCTATCAAAAAACAATTTATTTTATAAAAACTGATTATTATAAGTTCAAATTAAATTAATTAAATTGCTGCTGTTGGGTGTGAATCGTGCGAAAGCAAAAAATTATTACTAATTTACAAACTGTCTAAACTGTGTGAATTTGTTTGTAATTTAAATGCAAACTTGACTGAATTTCGAAGCTGACATTTGAATAAAAAATTCTATGCAGTTGTTTGTGAAATATGATACATTATTAAGTTGAAATTTTTTACTTCAGGATCAGAAGTAAATTTTTCAAATTGGATAGAAATTTAAGATAGTGATAACCATTATAATGACTGAAAATTACATTAATTCCAAATCTTAATGCTATAAATATTATTTTTTAATTAAATAAATTCTTTAAATTTAATTAGTCTATTTCCTGTTGGAATGGTCGAATTAATATGTTTTATAACATTTTCCATCTTATAAAAGTTAGTTGAGAAATTGCTCATTTTAACTATGCAACATATATTAACAACAATGTAATATATTAACATCAATGTAACATATTAACAACAATACAAATAAAACTCACATTTCATTTAAGCAATATATTCTTAAATTTAATCATTTTAAAAATAATGGAATAAAAAGCTGTTTTTTTTTTTTAAATGTGGGAAAAAATTTTGAAAAAATTAACTATTTTTATTTACAATAAAACAAAATCTATTGAAAAAAAAATCACTGTACATTAAAAGGAAAAAAAAAAAAACAATTTTTTACTGTATTATTAGCCTATAACAAATTTTTCTGGGAAAAATTTATTTTTCTGAGCATAGGAAAAATAATAATAGCTTTATTTATTGCCTGCATAAAATTAAATAATCTTTTTGTAGCAGACAATATTTATCGACATGCCTTTTATATTTATTTCGTGGCATAGCTAGCAGCGAACAAGAAAGAGCATATGTCCAGTTGTAGCAAAAAAGATGGGTCAAATTTTTTGAAAAAAATTTTATATGAATTCTAGATTAAATTGTTTCATCATTCCTCCAGTTTCAATGAGCAATTACAGGCCCAATAAATAACTTATAATTTTTATCCCATTTACCTAAAAATTAAATAGGATGTGAATTATTGTTGTAATTTGCTATGCAAGTAGGTTTAATATCTTCCTGGCAAAAAAATTTTTTTCTTTACTCAAGAAATAAATAACTACAGAATAATCTGAAATTATTTTTTCTCTAAATACATACACTTTTCAAGCTCTAAGCAAAATGATTGATGTAAAATGTTCCAAATGAAATTAAATCGTGACTAAAAAAATTAAAACTCAGATGCTTACCTCAAATAAATAAATTAAATTTAAAAAAATATATTAAAACTTCATTGATCAATTTTAAGTTATAATATAAATAACTTAAAGTACAGCATAGTTTCAAATATTTTATTAGGTTAATGAGGTGAAATATATTATTGTAAATTAACCTTAAGGAATATTTATAGTGCTTCTCTTCATATTTTACTTCATTTCATGAAGAAAAGGTGAAATAAGAGATAAAAATAAATAAAAACAAATGTAATGAAAAGAAAAGTAGTGGTGTCTGACTGAGTGGTGTGTAAAAATAATTAATTATTAATTTAAAATAAAAATATTTACTATTATCAAAATCTTTCTTTAAACAGAAAAAATTATTTGATTATATTAAATCCCAGTGCTACAGAACAATTAATTAAGTATTTTGGTGTTGCACGTAAAACATCAAAAGTTTATTTTGAGAATTTTTTTAAAAACCAAAATGAGAAATGTCTCTGCATATTTGTGCAAGATAACCTGTTTTGTTATAGTTTATTTAAATGATTACTCTTTCCATTTTACATTAGTGTTAATTTTAAAAAAAAAACTGTACTTTGTTACTAATTCCCTTACCCCAGTTGAAAATTACAAATGATGTTGCCCTTCATTTAACAGCCTATGACTTATTGAAAACTGATATTTATAAAGTAAAAATCATTATGTCTAAATTTTCAATTTCTTACCTTGGAAATGATACCTAGTTTACTAAATATTAAGTTTCAAATTTTGGTCATCAGGTTGCCCAACTTGAAACCTGTCCCTGTACAGTGCAGAACAGAAAAAGTTTTGTTTTCCTTCTCTCTAATAAACAAATATAAATACAAAAAAAAAATTTTGATTCTAAGTTTATATATCATTTAACATGCTTTTCATACATTCCTTGGTTTTTGTCAGCTTTTTATGGTAAAAGTTGTCATGAAATCCAGAAAATCAGCATCAATACAACAACTGTAACAATTTTGCTATTAGTGTTTGGTTAGCTTTGGTGAGAAAAATAATTCATTGGACAAAAGCTTTCAGAAAAAGAGTGCAAGATAAGATCTCTAATTAAATTATAACTAATTTTTTTTGGAGAATTTTATAAAGTTAAAAATACTAAAACATTTTGAATAATTTTGTTAAAAGAAAAAAATACCCCCGAACCATTGAAACAAACTTGAACAATTAATGAATTCAGCGCACAGACTAAAAGAAGATTTAAACACCAAAAAAAAAAAAAAAAAAAAAACCCNTTAAACGCTACTTTTATAAACAGAAGCAAATATCCTAATCCTTTCTTCCACATTTTTGCCTTTCTTAAACTGCATAGTCCCATAATCTCCAAAGAAGTCAAAGATTTCTCCATTCATTTCCCAACATAAAAGAGTTTGAAATGGCATTCTAGTTTAGCAAGGGAATAATGAAGAGAATTTTAATGCAAGAAAAGTATTGCTGAGTTGATGATATTTCAACTTTTTTACGATAAATTTACGTCTAAATAAAAGTGGACATAAAGGATGGTAAAATAATTTAAATTAAAAGGAAAATTCCAGCTTTTCTTTAAAATTTGATTTTTTCAGGTTTTTATCCAAATTTCCCTGACTTTTCCAGTTTTTTTCCAGTATAAGAAAATTCCCTGATAATTCCTGGTTTTCCAGGTGGGTGGCCACTCTGAAATAACTCTGCTTGTGAAAAGGGTGGTCTGTCCTGATGGCAAACAATCGTCAGCAAGGCGCTTGATAAAACACCCATGCAATATACTGAATTGTCAGGAAAATTTGTGACAATGTATAATTAGTACAAGCTATACAATCAGGCACTACTTTATCTGAATAACAGCTTTTTTAAACATATTTTCATCATTGTGAGATAAAAACTAAATTGTTTTTTAATTTATGCATATTCATCCATTTTTACTATAGAGATTTATATGCATGAATTTGCACAAAAGGTCTGTAGAGGCTCATATTTGATAATATGCCTGTCCAAAAAGAATTCCATAATAGCAAAAATGAAAATCATATAATTTTTACCTTATCCTTCAAAAGTTTTTCTTCTGCTTGTTCTTTTCGCTTTTTAGCTTTTATAATCTTTTTCTGTATCATTTCTTCACTTAAAACTATTGTCTCTGTAACTAAAGTAAAAATTCTTCAATTAATCACTTTTTAAATGAAAAACTTCTCAACCTGAAAATATTAAGGGGTTCAATTGTTTCGAGCGCTCTATTCTCAAGAGACCCAAGAAGAAAAACGAAGAACTATAAACCGCTGTAGTTGAGGGAAAGTAATAATGGCCAAAAGAGGCAGGATAAATTTGGTATGGAATTTAGTTAGATCATTCATAAGAATAAAAGAAGAGGATCAAGAAGAGGTGATGAAGAAACCCTTGTAATTAGCTGGGTAGAAGAAACTGATTCTTAATTCAATAGTAAATTCTATAAACAAATTAAAGGCTCTCTTGCAGACCCGACAAATCAGAGTTCATTTTGCTTGAATTGTGGCTGTCTAATATCTGTTGATTTATTAAAGAAAAAGTTACTGCCGCTTTTTCAGAAAATTGTGCTTTTCATTCTGAATTCTGTTCTTTTCATTTCATTCAAAAACATTCTGATAATGCAAAAACTATTAGAATGAAAAAAAAATAATAATGAAATTTAGAGAATTGTTTATGGAACATTCTAAGAGGTTATCAATACAGTTTTCGGGACACTAATATTACAAAAGCTCAGATGATGAATGTGGCAAAGCTGAAATGAATGAGAGAAGAGATCTGAAAAGAGCTAAACAAGGGTTAAAGGCTGGAATAGCCTGGTCGGTAGGGCGCTGGTCCCATGCCCAAGAGTTCGTCGGTTTAATCTCTGCCGGCCGAAGACTACCTGCGTAGTAAATGGTGAAAGATGCATTGTTAAACCTGTTGAGTCGCAAAATCCTCCATGTTCCCATAACAAATCAATAACCCTGGGGGTACTGATCCAGGAGTTTCCTTGTCTTCTGGATTAGTCCAAAACTACAAGGCTACAGCGTTGAACAATAGTAGTCCTAAACCCAAAAATTGGGTCGGCTGTTCAACGACTTATATAGTATAATAATATAAACAAGGGTTAGTGAGCAGGAGATAGAACCACCCTAATGTATATCAATGATATTTGTGATAATCAAAAATATTCAAATCAATGATATAATTAAGATATTTTCTTTTTTGAGTCCTTTGTTAATTTAGTATTTTACATTTCTTTCACACATTGCATAGCAAATTTTCTTTACCTATATCAGTTAGAAAAATAAATTTCACATTTAAATTCTTATTTAAATCTAGATTTTTTCTTATTTTATATTTTAAGGGCATCCTTAAGGAAATTTAAAATTTGCATTCTATTTTAAATTTTAAAAAAAGGAAGAAATTAAAATCATTATTCAAAATAATTAAAGAGAACATTTGTAAGCATTATACTATAAACATATAAAGAAATATTCAATTATAGATGATGGTTAAGTAAAATAAGTGCAGAAATTTACTTAAAAATGTCTCAAAAAGTTTTATATATTTTGAAAGTAATTCTTTCAAATATTTTTTTTAAAAAAAGCATTTAATGAGATGTCCTTAGATGGTGAGCTTTCAAAAAAAAAATTTAACATCATTCAGATTGTAAAAGTTAACATATGAAACTAACCTGTATACCATTTTTAATGATTTCATTGAAATTGAATTGTAAAACTAGGTGCAGAAATTAAGATTTGCAAATTTTTTTCATGCATATTAAAAGAAAAAGAGTAAATAACAAAATTTGGCAGAAACATTGAAATAATTATAACAAGTTTTTATATTCCGCTACTAGATCAGCAAATGTGTTATATTTACTTTTATGATGAACTTTAACAAAATTATTTCCAACCAAACCAGGTATTAGGAATAACTTTTGCATAACGTTACTAAATATTCTGGCAAAAAACATGAATTAATTTTAAAGCAACCAAAAATTGAACAAAAACTAAAAATAGTATATTAAGTTGCAATGTTAACTGAATAAAATTATTATTAAAGTCTAAGGATCTGTCAGTTGAGTAGATTTATATTTTATGTAACAATCTGATTATCCTTAAGAAATAAAAATAATGGTGTAACAATCTAAAACTTTAAAAAAAAAAATTTACATTGCAACAAAGCAAATTATAAATAGTGACCAAATACTTAACAAGCAAATCATGCTTTTTTTTTTATTTAGTACTTAGAAAGAAAAAAAAATTTAAGTATTTTTTTTTCAAAAAAAAAAAAAAAAAAAAAAAAACTTGAGGTTTTCATCAAAAACCCAACAAACCCTAGGTTTATGATGAAAAACCTAGGTGGGTTGGGATTTTTCAAGCCTTGTTTCTTACAGATCTGTTTATTTTTAGTACAATCATGAATTTTAAAAAATGCTATGCTTTCTATAAATTTACGTTTGCTTATTACACATTGAAATATTATACAAATTCATTTTATTCTTCAAGATTTTAGGAAATAGCTTTCGTTTTATGGATCCTAGTTCAAAAATTTTCTCATACTTCTTTTCTTAGTGTTTTACTTAATCCCTATAAGCAGATGTGTTACCAGTAGAACTGAATATCTTGAATTCTGTCAATTCTGAAGGTTACTGTGAGTCTTGTACTTAGGGACCTTAAAACTGCAACCCCACCCCCCACCCCAAAAAAAAAGAAAAACCTAAAGCACTATATCCTTTTTAGAATGCTTCACTCTCCTCATATCCTTTTGCCTAGAGTATTATTCTAGGCAAAAGGCAGAATTATATTAATGAAAGAACCAATATATTAATGACTGGGCATGCTTTCTTCCCCTTACCTATAGCTCTCCTACATACATTTGTCTCTCTGCATGGTTAAATTTCAAGTGATAAAAGAACAACATTTCGTTTTAAAAAACTGAACTGAAAAGTTGTTCCTATCAACTATAGTGATGTTAAAAAATTAAGGACATTTAAAAACCTTTTACCGCAATTAAGTACTTTTAAGGGCCCTTATTTTCCAAAATAAAAATTAAGCAGTTTTTAAGAACCCTGTAAATATTTTAAAACTGTAACTTTAAACAAAAAAACAAAAAAATTTAAGAAACCTGAAATGATATAGAATCTAATAAAATAAACAGATTGAAAGTACTGACAAAAAAATTACAAAACAAGACTCAAAAAGGGTAAAAATTAATTATAAAAAAACTATTTTAACTTATTCTAAAGTTTTTGCATACCTACAGAAACTAATCTAAATATATATTTTTCTTGTTTTACGATAAACACTGGTATTTCTTAATCTATTGGCCACACTAGTCATTTTCGCAAGCTGCCGTAAGTAATTATTTAAGTAATGTTAAAAACCGGCTGATACGTTAAGTATTTATTTAGATTCCTTTTGTTAGGTTACCATTTTTTAGAGTTTAGGAATGTTGATTAACAGCAACTATTTATTTAGGTCTAAAATTACTGTAGAAATTTTAAACATAAACAGTGCTGTCATATCTACTATTTGCGACAAAGTTAGCTTTTTCAGAGCACCCCTGTGACAAAATTTTTTCGGGATTTCATTGGCATACCTCTCTAGTACTAATACTAATATCTTTTTGCAAGGTACTTTTAATAATAACAAATATACATGTTACTGATTTAAAGTAACCAAAGCATCAAATTTTAAAAAAAACTTTATGAATAAAATTATTATTTTTAATTTGAATACATATTGGTTTTTTATTAAAATATTATGGGTAATATACTCGCATTTTGTAGGGAAAGAAAGCGCTCTATATCTTTTTTGCGTTTTGTAAATCATCATCAAATTAAAAAAATTAAAAATAGGGAAATCTGTAGTAGTAACTACTGAAGAAAAAAAACAACGGCGAAGTCACGCAAAACAGACTCTTCAAAAAGAGGTTACTAAACATGTGTTTTCATTTCGAGATTCAGTTGTTGTAATAAATAATATCGTATTAAAAATATAATATTTTAAAAGCTATGTGGAAATTCAAGTAATAACTGCAAAAAAAAGGGAAGAAAAAGAAAACCAAATTTTTTTACCCCTTCATTTCTCATTATTCTGAAATGAGAATAAAAAAGCATTTTCCCCCTACTCAGATGCATCGTTTGAATATAGCTTTGAAAAAAAAAAAAATCTTTTGAAAATTTCTGAAAGAAAGAAAAATCAAAATTTTTTACTTCTCAAAGGAAAAATCTTTCCGCAAGAACTCTATATAGTTCTGCAACAATGTTGCCACGATTCTACCACGGGACAGAGCAATAGCATAAAAATATTATACGATCGAGAGAACGGCATCGTTTGAATATAGCTTTGAAAAAAAAAAAGATCTTTTGAAAATTTCTGAAAGAAAGAAAAATCAAAATTTTTTACTTCTCAAAGGAAAAGTCTTTCCGCAAGAACTCTATATAGTTCTGCAACAATGTTGCCACGATTCTACCGCAGGACAGAGCAATAGCATAAAGATATTATATGATACTGAAGTACGGCTAGAGAGAGGCTTGAAGAACATAATGGAGCATTGAGATTATTTCAGCCCAAGACACAGATTTTAACACTTCTGCTGCCTACTATGCTGATATGGGAGTGTTTGTGTGATTTAATGACAGATTTTCAATTATTACAACAATTCAATATATAAAGAACTTAGGCAATAGCACAAATATCTCTTGAAAATTGAAATCAAAATACTTTGTGCCAACAGGACCTGCAGGCAACAAGTAGATGGCGCAAAAAATAATATCAAAATATTGTTTAAAGCTAATTAAGGTGTAAGGATGGGGTTAAAAAATTACAAAATTTAAACACAGCTGTGTTGTGCACTCAGCTTGGTAACTATTAAAGTTTATGTGTAGTATGAGATAATTTTAAGAGGTAACAAAAACTAGTTATTTAATATGAAAAATGTTTATAAGCTAGTTATTTAATATAAAAAATGTTTTTTTTTTCAGTTTGAATCAGAACATTAAGAAAGCAAAAGTAAAAATTCCTTAGTTTTACTTAGTGCAAGTTAATGTTTTTTATATGACAAAAATATTGAAAAACAAATAAATAAAAAAGATGCGTACCAACAGGGAGAGCTTCTTCCTTTTCCTTTTGTGCTTTACTTTCTAAGAGTGAACGCTAAAATATAATAAAGAAATTATTAATTGTTTCTGCTGAATAAGAAAGAAAAGCAATAAACACAGAAATATAAAACGAATCTATGCTGTTCTTTTTATAATGGTAAGTAACCAATAAAAAGCATAAAATTAAATTTCCGGTGAATTAAACAAACAAATAGTTCGACTAATTTAGGGGTGCACAACCTGCTGCCCGCGGGCCAGATGCGGCACTTCGACTAATGAAGTGCGGCCCGCGAAAGCTTCTAAACACAATAAAAAAAAATTTAAAAATGGCAATTTTTAATCGCACTTTTAAGTCATCATGTTTTGACACAATCAATTTTAACAGATTCTAAAAAAATGTACGTTTAACATGCTTTCTTTAAGCCGATTTTGTCGTAAATAAAAATTAATTTTTTTTAAAACAGTTATTTTCGCTTTTCTACGTGATTTCGAAAATCCCGAATTTTTAATACGTCGCGAGTTTCAGATCGCCCATTTAAATAATCACTTTTTGGTGCACTTTATTTGTGACGATTTCATCTTAAATCTAAGTGATTTTTTTATCCTTTTTTTTTGCAAGTAATTTTTTTATCCTTTTTTTTTATCCTTTTTTTTTCAGCAGTTATTGTTATGCGTTCCCACGCATTATAAAAAATTCCAATTATTCTATTACAACATGCAAACTTTAAATTGTGCATTTGACGCGCTTTATTCGTGTTGAGTTCAGCATAAATATAAGTAATTTTTCCCCCCAATTATTTCTACACTTTTCCACATGATTTTGACGATCCCGTTATTTAACTATGATGTTATTACGACGCGTGACTGTTAATCGCTCAATTAAATAATCACTTTTTGATACGGTATTTCGATACAGTTTTATCGTAAATCCTAGTTATTTTTCTTTCTTTTTTTTTCCGCAACGAATATGATTTGGTCGAATGTGGTAATTAATTGTGATTTGGTCAAAAACCAAATATTCGGCAAAAAAAAGAAGAAAAAAATAGACTGAACGCCGTACACTTGGGGCCAAATAGAGCATAGCCAAATAGATCTTTTAGCAGCATAGCAACACTGAAACTATAATTTCAATGCTCAGAACAATATTTCCTGGAAAAATGTATTCATAAATTAACTCTAAAAAATAAGGCCAATCAAGAGCGTTTTTGAAAATGTCAAAAAGCGAAACAGAGAACATAAAAATCAATCTTAATTTTCGAAAGAAAATTTTAAAGCTGAACATCTCAGTTTTCCAATTACCAGAAAAAGCCAAGAAAAAAGAATTAAGTCAACAGAAATGCTATTAAAAATTACTGCGTTATAATAAAAACGTCCAAAAAAGTTTTTTTTATTTAAAGAAAATAAAAAGTTTGAAAAAATGCTCTTAATTTTTTTAATGAAAATCTTATGCTGAAAATCTCAATTTAAATTTTTCTCATTGCCATAATTTTAGAAGAAAAAAATTGCTATAAAATAAATTTTATTAGTAACTTTATTTTTAAAAAATGCCTAAAAAGAGAAAAACAGAAATTCTTAGTTCCTGAAACAAAACTTTAATACTGAAAATCACACTTTTCTATGTTTACTGGTTATTTATATTACAGTACAGGGAAAGAGGGATAATAAATTAATAGTATGAGAGGTTCTGTTAAAATTCTGGGTTATAATAAAAACAACAAAAGATGGAAAAAATCCTTCTCAATTCTCAAAGTTTAGAAAAAATGACAAAATTGACTAGTCTGATTATAATTTTTTTTATTTTTTAAAAAAGTAATGTCTATAAAAATTCAAAAATAAAAAAAACTTAGAAAAATACATTTCTAAAAAATATTCTGCCGAATATTTGACTGATCATTCAACCAACTGAATTTTTCACAGAAGGGCCAAATACTCGTTACATCCCTAATTTAAATGCAATGTTATTGCAACTTGAGAAATTCATAACATGGCGGAAAACGTGAATTTTTAAACTTCACAGTTTTGTTTTTATTTTAGGCTTTTGTTTAAAACCTATAAATTTTCTTCAATATTAAAATATTTAATTTGAATTTATATTACTTAATTATGACTAAATTTTTTCCTATTTTCATTCTATGGCCATTGAAGTTTTTTTTTATTTATTAGAATTTAATTCTAAAATGAATTTTCGTATTGCATGATATGATAAAAAAACAAAATATTTCTTTTCTTCAATGTTTATTTATTTTGATAAATCTATTGTTCATATGGGTCATTCTCACGAAAACTGTCATTTTTCAGTTCATAAAATCCCAAAAAAGTAAAGTGAATAAAAAGCTCTGAAACTTTTTATATTAATATAAATATGTAATGGCATTATAAAGAAAGTATATATCCTATAAATTATACTTAATATTTAAATTAATTAATTTTTTAAATAATTAATTTATAATTAATTAATTTATAATAATTAATAATTAATTAATTAATTTAATAAATAAATTAATTAATTTAATAAATTAATTTATTAATTTTTTAATTTATTTTTCAAATTAATTAATAAGTAAATTAATTATTTTCACTATTTAAAAAGTGAGGGAATGACACTAATAGTGAGGGAATGATATTTTATTTTAATACATGTTTTTATCTAAGTTACATCTACCTAAAGTTTGAAAATGATAACATACTAAGTATATCTAATATTTATTATAATTTAGTCTTATATATTTAATAGTTTTTACAGGTTTGGGAAATAAAATTGGCTGGCACGATTGAACAAAAAAAAATTTGATAATATACTCATCTTGAATCATTCCCTCACTTCAGCGTCATTCCCTCACTTTATACACTAGTGAGGGAATGACGAATTCAATAAAATTTAAAAATAACAGTTAGGCCTAATTAATTTCTGAAGTCAATCACATACAATTATATTCATACAAGAAAGCAACATATAATTATCCACTTTCTCGATGAAGTTGTATTTTATTTTACTCTAAAAAATGACATGAGGGAATGACAAATGTAAAAAATTTTACCTGGTTTGATTCATTCAAATTTATTCCACAGCAAAGCTTCTTTAAGTTGAAGATGGAAACATACTGCAATTTTGTTCTATGATGCCAGTTGTTAACTTCTGAAGTTTTTATTAAAATATTTTTATTCTAAGAAGATTGCAGGTGATAAGAACATTGTTGTGAGGGAATGACGCGAAACACTGGGGACAAAGTTTAAAATAGTGCTGTGTTAATATTTTTATCAGAAATTAAATTTAAAATTGATTTTCTGAATTCTATATTTCAGTATTCTGAAATAAAAAACACGAATTTGTAAAAAAAAAATTTTTATTTCAGAAACAATTTTTTTCTTTTTTTAAATCAGCAGTGGGGACAAGTGAGGGAATGTCATATTGGTATATTTTAATTACCTAAAATAAATAAAAAATAAAAATTGATAATTTTATTTTTATTCTTTTGTTAGCTTGTATTCTGAAGGACTCTTTCCCTGAATTTTCTTTTTCGTAAGCTGTAAAAAAAAACATAAAATATACTGGGGACATGAAAATGACTGTTTTTGTAAGAATGACCCATATGATAAAAATAGAAATTTTTTTTTTGTAAAAAAAAAAAAAAGTATAAGTTTTTTTATTTTTGAATGAATTCTAATAATGGAACACCTTTAGTTTTTTACAAATATATTACTAAGTTTATTGATAAAAAACGCTAATGTTTAAATAAACATTACTGTCATTAACATGTCTAAATACATGTGCGGTCCTTCGTTAGCCAACCTGCTGTGGCCCTTCACTCAAAAAGGTTGTGCACCCCTAAACTAATTAATCAATTTATTTACTAAATCAGAACATTACATCCATGAATCAATCAAATAATACTGAGTAGCCAGAACAAAAATAAGCACCTCTGAAAAAATATGTATCTCTTTCCAAAAAAAAATCATAATTAGTATATATGCAGGGTTGCCACTCAAATCTGGAAAAAAATTCCCTGCATATATTACACACAATATGTTGAGAGGAAACACAATTGTGTGAGCCATATTGGGCTCATTTAAATTGCTGGAACATACTTAATAATAATGCAAATGAAATAGTTGATATTTCATCCTTCAATATCCCACATTGAGTGTAAAAGACTAAAATAGGAAAAAAATTCCCTGCATTCCCCCTGTTATTTTAGGGGATTTTTAAATTCCTTGCATTTCCCCAATTATTTTAGAGGATTTTTAAATTCCTTGTATTTCCCAGCTTTTCCCTGTGCAGTGGCAACCCTGTATGTGCAATTAAAAAAAAATTTATTGTTTAAAGATCTTAATTTATAAACACAAAATCATCAAAATGCAAAAACATTTTCAAAAACTTTAAATTATGATAAAATAGCTAGTTTTTGATTATTGCAGAAAAAATTGTGCATTTTTTGTAATCGACAATCAATGCAACAAAAAAAAATCTCTTTTTAAAAAGATAGAAAATGTTTAGAATAATTTTCGAATTTCAACTTCCTGTAGAGTTTTCAGAGGGAGCTTAATTTTATAAATAAATAAAGCTCGCTATAATATTGCTTAAGCGACTGGTACCGCACTACACTATCTGACATGCTACCTTATCGTATATGCAGAATCAGTCCGGGATTTATCGTTTCTGACGGGGATACAAAAACAAAAGGCGGAGAGGAGAACTTACTTTTTTAAAAGTATTTTGTGAAACTACCTTAAGTTGAATTAGTGAAGGGACTGCTAAATGGTAGTAAATTTGTTCTGGACAGACCCCTGAATCTGTTCAAAATTTCTATTTCAATAAGGAATTATTTTTTTTTTAGGAAATTTACTCAATTTTAGGGAATTTTCTAAAATGTTCAAAAACCAGGAGAAACTAGCCTAATCCACTGGACAGCTATGAATATAGGTCTTTCCTAATACTTGCAGTAAGAATGAGAAATGGCTATTGATAATGTCTCTCACCCTCATTATGCAAGTGTTTTTGATTGGACGGAAGTTTGGTTTCTCCGTCAGTATATTCGTATAGTGAAATTCATTATT